CGCTTATCCGCAATTATTTTTACGAAGGGGAAAAAAGAAAGTTTGATCGTAGTAAGTGCTTCTATCACGAGAGATCACTTTCAACGCGATTCTATCGGGCGAAAGCTTCGATATTATTGTCGTGATGTTATGTTCCTAAATTCCACACGTGTCGTGTCTGCTTGAAGCAAAGCATTATTCTCAGAAAACGCAATCGTATCAGTTTCTCAAGATATTAAATTATTTATATCTATTCCCTATCGAAAACATATAGCAAAAGTGCTTCGTGCGAGTTTCTTCAATTACTATTCTGCATCGCGCTCGAGCTCGTGAAAATCGTGAAACATAAGCAGCGTAGGAAAGTAATAATTTATTGATGTACCGTAAATAACTCTAAAGTGAACGTCTCAATTCCTTTGCAAAGGAAAATATTAAATGCCATATAAAAAAAGGCTCTTCTAATGTAGACATTTTCAATTTGTAAATATTTGTAGAGAATTGAACAATTTCAACAAAGTAAGCCTTAAAGAATATATAAATTTTTTTTTATTTCAGAAATAATATTTCAAACAGATTTAATTTTAATAAAAATTGAATCAAACATTGAGTTGTTGAGATAATTTAATTGAAAATTATAAAGTTGTGATGAAGAGAGGGAATTTCATCATTACATGTACATAAACTAAAGTTCTTATCAAAACTTTGTGCATGGTTAATATTTTCCGCATATATAGATGTGCATCCTCTCATTAGAAAACAGAATAGATCGTAAGAATATTTAAGCAATGCAAATGTATATGTATCAAAAGTTTCAGCGACGAGAGAACAATTAGAATCATTTTTCGGTGCGATGTTACGCGCAATTAATCATTCTTCGTTTAGTCGAAAAATACGAACGAGAGAGGGGGAGAGAGAGAGAATACAAGAAAATGGGAAAGAGAGAGGGAGAAAGGGAGGGAAAGAGAAATGGCTTGCGTGCTGTAAAAATAGTGAGGTAAAAACTTACCTTGCTGGCGTGCGGTTGGACTAACTGTTCGTGAGAGAGACTGCTGCAAATCCGCCGAGAAGGCAGCCTGCCGTGTTTTGCTCAGATATAACTGCAAAAGGAAACGAATTATGTGAAATTATTCCTTCGACGTCAATCCTAATTTATAAACGAAGCATTTCTTTAATTGCTTGTACTATATTAAGAATGAACCGTAATGTGGGAAGACAGATGTGTCGTGACTAAATCGAGTCGTGTTACTGTACGCTATTTTAGATTATACGACGTAAAAATGCGGACAAATAATTCACTTATAAGCCACAGCACCGACGTTTAAATCAATTATTTTAATTGCTGTTATCAGAAATAAGCATCTTATAACTAAAACTTTGTAAGAACAACGCAATTATTTGAGAAAATGTATAAATTCAACGTGTTAATATTTAATTGTACAATTATCAAAATAAAACCCTGTTGCACACACATAGAAAAATAAGAGTTACATTTTCTTTCACATCTATGTATGAAAAAGAATAATATGTAATTTTAATCGCACTTTTCTATATATTTGCTTACTCTCAAAATATATATTTACGTAAATACATATCATAAATTTAATTAAAATGTAATATCGTAGAAAAACTCCACTCTATGTTTATCAATGTATTCATGATATAATTAATAAAATAAGAGTTGTCGGCTCGATTATCCATGAATTAACGTGATATAAACGAGATTCTACGAACGGCACATGACGCATCCTTATAATCGCCTGAAACTCGCTTTATTCGTCTATAAAGAGAACTCGATCGGATCGGAGAGATTTGGCATCCCGATCACGCGCTAAGGGCAAGCCATCCCCTTTAATATTAGGACCAAATCGGACCGACTCGCTTTGGTATAAAATAAAGGGCTGACATGCGAGCACGGCGGGAGAGCCGAGCCAAGCCGAGGGAGAAGCCGAAGCGAGAGGGAGCTTCGCGAGAGTAACGGAGAAAGACGTGGAAGACAGACAGGGAAGGGTGGCTTCACCACCGCGGTGAGGGATGACTGAGCGAGTCGGTTAAACGGGCGTCTTCTTTCATAAATTTGGAGGGCGCCCCCGGATAAAGGTTTAGAATAAATCGTTCGGCCTGTTATCCACTCCGACGTCGGCGGATAACGCCAGACGAGAGCGACCCCGGATGGCTCAACAATCCCTCCTCAGTCTTCCCGCATGATCACACGTTGTACCGCTTTGAGATGCGCATTTGCGCGTTTTCCATTCGCCGCATAATTCAAAATTTCATTAATACATAATTTATTTTGCGCCGAAACAAGCGCGAAATATTTATTTTAATGTGAGCAATTTTTGACGGAGAAATTTACACAATGTATTGAAATTTGCGCAGCTTCGTCTCAGCTGTACACATTTTTTGATCAATTTTATACTCGAAAGCTAAATGTCTTAATAAAAACTCGGCCTTTTAGTATTTTTTTTAATATTAAAAAAGTTTTTAATTAAAAAACAATGCAGCAAAAATGTTACATGTGTTGTGCTCGATAACTTACTACACGCGAAACTGACTATCTAAAATGGCGAGTGTAATATAAAAGTTCAGGCGGGCATGGCTAGAATGCTCATAAATACATCCTCGGAGATCGTACAAATCGCTCGTTCAAGACCAATCCCCTTCGACATTTCCTGCGAAAGATACGAGAGAGGGAACCCTTCTTCGTCGCGCATAGAAATACGTATGGCGATATGGCAAGTATATGCGAGTAACATGCACGCGTCCAACATATACAAACGCAAGGTCCAAACGTATCACACTGGCGCGAGTAAAGAAAAAGGAGACGACGGAGAAAGAAAAAAAAAGAATGAAAGAGAGCAAGGAAGAGAGGAAGAGAGTATAAGAGAGACAAAGATGCCAAACCAGGCAGAAAGCCAGTCCAATTTCTCAAACCTGTCCAATCTGTATCGTATGCAAAATCAATCACGTTCTACTCTGCCACATCGCTCTGCCCAGAAGCCCTGAGGGCCCTACAATTTTCAAATCCACCCATAGCCACGCGGTAATCCCGCTCTGGAGGCGAAACTTCTCGCCGATCTAAGACAGCGTCCTGCCGTCGAAGCATTTTTTTCAATCTATTTCGTCCTGACGATATATACATATGTGCCACGTGTAATGAATGAACATAGAGATTGATGAACTCTTGATTCAATACATCGATTAATGACGAATAAATAACAACTGCAAAATTTAACTCTTAATTTGTTTGCATAATTTGAGAGAATGCTTTTAACTTTTAAGAAATTATTTGTTTATTATTTATAATTATCGAAGATAATTATTCAATGCAAAATGATAAAAATTTTAATTATGTTGCGATAAGATTATATCGGCAAAATGTATATATATGTATATAGCAACGAAAGAAAAAACAGCCTTTGAAATTGCTTTGAGACACACCCGTAATTCCGATCATCGTTATAAAGTGTATATTGAGCCTTTGAATCATGGTAATAATATCCTCGAGCACGCTCAAAAGGCGCGCCGCAACGCGGAGGAAGACATTTTAAAAAGTAAAATTCAGAAAGTCATTAGAAACTATCGGCGTATCGGACGTTTGTTTCGCCGTCCCGTCCATTGATATGCATTACCTTCGATCGGCAGTCGCGATCATTAAAGGTACCTAAGGGCGCTCTGTAAGGGTTTCAAGGCCGGGTGACCGCCTCGAAAAAGTAATTTGTCCTTTGGGGCACGAACTTCAAAGTGCACGTGGGACGAATGTCCCGCGTGCGGGCTTGCTACAACAAGCGGCGTTCTACTTGCGTCCCTTTCTACTTGGCGCCACTGATCAGACTTGCTGATTTTTGCCGTCGCAACGTCGACGTGGACCTTGTCCACCGGCGCCCGTCAAGGGCCGCGGAGCTCTCAGCACCGAGAAGACGGAGAGAAGCGGGAGCGCGCCACGAGGGGTGCGAAGAGTTTAGCATACGCATTTTGTACATTGAAATCCCGACACGTTCGTCCAACTTTAAATTGAAACCCACCCGACGCGCATCGTCTCTTCTCCGTCAATAATCGTCGCCGTCGTTGCTGCCGTCGTCGCTGTCTTGCAAAATCGTCAAACCAACGTCAAAAAATTGTAGTTGAAAACTAGAAGACTTCTGCGAACTGGCGTGAAAGAATCAAGCGAGTCCAGTCTTTTGAAAAATAAATTTAATCTGTTCATTCAAAATTTTGCGCATTAATTGATTCAAAAACTTTTGCAAATAGCCGCAAAATAGTGTAATATATAATTTTTCAGATTGACGGTGTAATCAATAGTGATAATAATAACGCAAAATAATCGACTTCACTTTAGTTTTCCTTAAGTTTCAAAATCTCGCCACATAATATTACGTGAAAAGACGATAGTAAGATCAGGCATTTTTAATTAAATAATACTAATCACGAAGGGCAACCCTCCTGCACAGGCAAATCTCATCGTGTTCTTTCCTCGGACGATCCCTCCTCGCGCATAGTCTCTTTCCGTCTTTCTTTTACTCCATCTTGTCAAGTTCCTTCTCTCCTTTGGTCCCGCGAATCGTCTCTCTTTTAGACTTCGAATTGTAATTAACATTTGGTTCTCCCATTAGTGTAATTAAAGTGCCATTCCATAATCTAGGAGGCCAAGAGAAGAGAAGAGGGGCACCTTATCTTTCAGACTTCAGCCCCGACTGCGGGGGTCGTTTCAACCCCCGCTGGGCGCCTCCAGCCCCTTTCCAAATCTACGCCAACCGTCGGTTGCCCGTAGCTTCCTTCGGTGATAACTCCTTTCCGCGAGAGGCCTTCCCCGTCTGTGGGGGAGAAAGGAAGTCGCGACGAGGAAAAGAAAAACGGTGATTAAAACGTTTGGAAATCCGATATCGTATCTCCGTATACCGAATCGTCTATTCGGAATCGCGCGTACGCAAATCAGTTTCACGATTTCCGTTTCCTCAATGAAAACAACTTAATGATATCAGATCTTTAAAGCGAATAATTATACCAATCTATATTGCACAATTTTAATAATATATTTAGAAAAAGCATTCTCTTTTTATAAAAACAATAGATTTGCAAAACACGCTTACAAAGATAATCGACGGAAAGTAATTTTCAAATTAGATTCGCCGAGTTGCGCAAGGTCGCACAAGCGATAAAAGTAATGAGCGAAATGGGGAAGGTGCCGGGTCTAGAGAAAAATAAAGAAATACAAAGAGATAAGAAAAGAGCTGCCTGCGTTGACATTTTCCGGTGGTTGAGTTAATAAAGCGCACGGTACACAGTTGTGTCAAGGAGGGACGGATCTGCAAAGTGCCATCATAAAGAGGCGCGGATGTGTTTATTCGGAAATTTGCCTTTTTCCACCGTCTCCCCGCTCGACCGGATGCCACGAGATTTTTATCTTATTTTTCGTCGACGATCCCGCTTGGGGATTTATACACTTTGAATCGAAAAGGAGAGCGATAGAGGGAGAAGAAAAAACAGGAGGAGAAAAAGAGAAAAACGAGGGGAAGACAAGGAAGTAGCAAGAATCACGATGCAATTATTTTCGTTCCAGCTCGTGAACGGATTTTAAGGCCGTCCGGCTCCGGTCGCTGGACCGGGGAGAAAAAGAAGAAGGCTGAAGGCTAGAAAGAAGGATTAACCTCGTCAAGTGGGAGAGTCCGTGACAAAGACGTTAAAGTGGTCGAAGGGGATGAGATATATCGTCCCGAAATCTGGGGTGGAACGCTCACATCGTCGGGCATCATGGGACGGCGGGACACTAATGGCATTTTTATTATTTCTCTCTGGAGCCCCGGAGTAATGGGGCGCCTGTATGGTCCATTGGACGTGTGACAGAGTTGACAGCTTCTCACCTTTTCTACGTCTTTCGCGACACACCGATTTCCTGCGACACTAACGCGAAGAAAGACGCTCGCGTGGCTGGCTCGTATCTGGACGGATCACTTCTTCACATTACTACTGCTCGAAACTTCTTATCTTTGTCTTTTCTTCTTAAAAGTATTGTTTTCTTATATTTATTTTGTATTGGAATCATACTTCTTCGCTCGGTTATAATAAAAATATTAATTCTTTTAAAAAATCACAAGTTTCA